TTAATTCAGCTTGCCAGCGACTCCAGTCCTTAATTATTTCTAATGGAAGGGTATCATCCCAGTCCACACCTAATGTCCAAATTTTTTGTAACAGAATTTTCATTTTCATCACAAAAGGTTGGAAAACACCAATTGGATCGTAAATTTTGGCCACCATTTGGAGAATAGTCCTTTTTGTGGCCTCAGCAGTCATGGGATAAATTTCCTAAAAATTCGCAATTCAACCTGATCTTATCTGCTTCAGAGTTCCAGATCATGCCCAAAAATTTTGACTCTTTAGCTGGTTCTATGTTATAACCTTTTCCAATCCACCAGGAATTAAGTTCCTCGGAATTTGACCTTAATTTTCTCAAATTCATCTCAGCGTCTTTAAAAATCTTAACCGCGTCTGAGGATAATCGACATGCATCTTCAATAGTGTCTGCACCGTAGTATAAATCGTCTACATATAACGAGGAATCTAACATTTCATAACTTTCTGGATTTGTGCTTTTATATTTTTTAATGTGGAATTTTATCGTCATCGCTAAAATTGCTGGACTACAGCAAAGTCCGAATGGAAGACGTTTAAACCTTAAAACTTTATATTTTTCCTCACTATTCCCGAACCAAAGAAATTTTAAATATTCCCTATCCTTTTCTAAGATTCCTATCATTAAAAAGGCCTTAGCTAAATCTCCGCTGAAAGCAATTTCATATTTCCGAAATTTTAAAATTATGTTCAATGTCTAAAAAATCATTTAAGGACTTTACACCTTTAGTTCTAGAAGAGCTCGCGTCGTAAACAATCCTACACCTTGTGGTTTCCTTAGGTTTTATTATTTCCCTGTGCGGCATAAAATACGATGCCTCCGTTATTTCCTGTGAACACTTCTCAACTATACCCTCCTTCATTTGCTCTTCAATTACGGATTTATACTGCTGATAAATCTCAGGATTTCTAATAAGTCTATTTTTAAGACTTTCAAATCGTCTTAATGCTACTCCGAAATTATTTTCTAACTGCCCTGCTTCCGATTTCCATAATAAACTGACATAGTATCTATTACCTTCGACCCGTATTTCCTTTCCAAAGCTCTGAATCATTTCTCTCACCTCGTTAGAAATTGCTGAGTCATCGGTAAGGCCCATCAAATCTAAAGTCCATAACGATCTCAATGAATCAGTTACGCAAGAAGAAAGTTTTACTATTGCCGTGTTTTGAGATACTATTTCGCTCTCTTTATCTTGAAGGCCAACTGGGACCCATCCAAACATAGTAGAAATCGCATAAATTTCCTTTCCTAATTGAATCTTTTCCCCCCTTACCATCTTCCAGTAATAATCCACACCTATTAGAATTCCAACGCTTCTTTTACATAAACAAGCGATTCGCAATCCGCACTCATTCATCATTTTTAGTGTTTGTTTTGACGGCGTGGTCATATGCGCAGCCGTAATGGCGTCAGTGACGAGACAGCTGATTTTTATTTTGTTCTTTTGCTTCGCATCTGAAACACAGAATTCGACAACCTTATATGTTTTAGGTACTGCGTATTTCATTCCGAAAGAATAAATAGACAATGTTTCTTCTCCAACAAATTTTAAGTTTAATTTCTTAACTACACTAATATGAACAAAACTTCGTGTAGCACCACAATCGAAAATTAAATTAGTTAACTCTGACTTTCCGTCATAATGAGCTAACACTGAACAGGTTTGCAATAAAGCATTTTTCTTCAATGATTTATCACAAGGAACAACAGAAAGCGTGTGTTCTTTTGGGGAGTTTTGTGTTTCATCTACTGAATTATCTCGCGAGCTTTCGCACAATTCTTTTATGTTTTGATTTGAAGCCGTTCGCGCTTTGTTACGATTTGAACTACTCGTACATAGTGACTCATGATGCGACTTAAACCCGCATTTTAAGCAGTTAGTTTTATTTCTGCACGATTTCCAAATGTGATATTTTCGAAAACAAATAAAGCATCTATTTTCAGTACGTAACTTACACAATTTTTCTTTAATGCTTTTATCACAAGAAAATGAATTATGGGACTTTTCGCAGAAGATGCATGCACGATTATCAACAGCATTGAAACTGGCAGCCGTAGGTACATTTCTGTGAATTTTTTTATAATCAGACTTAGCATGTTCGAAACGTGGAGGCAAGGTATTTCTTTTATCTCGCGTCAATAAACTCGACGCTTCACGACATTCAATTTCCCGCTTTATGAAGTCCAACAAGTCTGAAACATTAATTTCTTCATTTGGGTTTTTCCTTCGATTAAATTCCAGAACGAACTCTTCTGGAATAGCTTTTAACAACACAGGTATTAATAACTGACCAAATGAACCTTTCGTAACTCCTTGCGCTTCCAAATTCCGAACTGCAATTTCGATTTCATCATATAACCTACGTAAAGCTTTAATATTATTTGAATTCCTTACTGGTTCTAAATTTAACAGTTTGTTCATGAATTGACTAATTATTATTTCTTTTTTCCCGAATCTATCCTTTAAAGTTTTTTATACTCTCATCGTAATTTTTTGCATTTAATTCTAATGAAGATACTACATTACTCGCGGCACCTGTAAGTAATGTTTTCAAGTATGCGAATTTTTCTATCTTACTAAGACTTTCGTTTTTGTCTATAGTGCTTTCGTAACTGTTCCAAAACTCCGTAAATTTTTCAGGATCACCTGAATATTTCTCTAAAACTAGTTTTGGAAGTTTTACCGTACTTTGTACATTTTGCAGTCTAACCAAGTTTTGTTCAGGATCTTTAATACTTATTTTATCCTCTTCCAACATTCGATTAATTCGTTTAATAGCTCGAGAACATTTTTCCTGATATTCCTCAGAACTAACTACATCCGCTTCTAGAGAATCTATCTCAATTACGGAATGAATTGCCTCGTCTAATTCTTTCAAATTACTTTTCTTTTCTATTAATAATTCATGCACTTCGCATAATTCATCTGTATCTTTCTTTGCTAAGCTATCCTCGACTTTCTTTAATAGTTTAGATACTACCGTTCTCAATGCGGTTCTCTTTCGTTTTAATCTATCTAGTTCTGCCATTATTTCGCGTTAATACACAAATGTACCTAAGACTGCAAATTATCAAAATTCAAATCAAACACGTTCAAAATTTAATAATAATCATGCTCTTACCTAGGGCATGGTCTGGACACATACTTCCTCGTGAAGTTCACTTTAACAAATCCAAACATTTCCGTAAGATGCACCATTGTGACGAACCTGCATTTATCCATGGCGGCCCGTAGAGCAATCACAAAACATCCGATGGTTCAGTTTTTCTAATGCTATTTATTATTCGTTATATTTACATATTTACAACTGTCCTATTGTTAGGTGGACTACCTTCACAGAAATCATGTTGCCTAATCAAACGACATTTCGTTTCTACTTACATGCATTGCGCTACTGCCAAGCAGCGCCCTCTACTTCTCCCTTTACAACAATGTTTTCCCCATGCATGTAATTATGTGTGCGAGTTCAAAGATGCAATTTTTTTGCGAAAAGTGTTGGAAGGTATTCTTTTTTTTCCATCTAAATACTACACACGTTGTATTTCTATCAAGATTTTAATAATTTACATTCTCGTTCCACATGGTCAGTTCATATTCGCGCTATTATGATCGGTATGCTTAGAGTAGAAGGGATTTAATTTTATTTTTTATCTGAAACAACTTGAATATGAATATAATGTACTGATCGATTTTTTTTTTTTTTTTTTTTTTTCATTTTCAGTTCAGATTTTCATGCTTTATTGGTCTTTGATGTTGCTTCTTCAGCTTATGTTTCATTCCAAATTTAATATCCTTTTCTGATCATAGTTATATGTTACAAAAGGAATTTTATTCAAAATTCATATTTTTAATAATTTTGGTGTGAAATAAAGTATTATAAAATGTAAAATCAAATGAATTACTTAGTAGATTGTGTTATGGATGCAATAACCTATAGATACATATATATGTGTAAATAGAAATGTGAAATCTATGAAAAGAAATATGAGATCAAAGTAAACTTATCCCAAAGGATGATAATTCAAATATTACAGAATCAATTAACTCTTATTTTTCCTTTAACATCACCATTTCTGAATAAGCATTAAAGATAAAATAAGAAAATAGTAGCCAGACAGACACACATAGGTCTTAAACAACATCACACCCGGAGCACGTAACACATGTAATGCACATTACTGAAATAACGTTGAACTCAAAATTAAAGTCAATCTTCTTCCATCTGTACAAATCAAAGTTCTGGTGAAAAAGGAACGATCAAAATATAATGGCAGTAAATAACTATACTTGGTGAACAATGTTTTTTTTTTTTTTCTTCTTTTTCTTATATCTAGAAAAGAGGAAACACGTACTCATGAAGACTTCTCAAAAAGATAAAGTGGTTGAATAAAAATTATTAACCGCAGCCATATTCTACGAATCTGGAGAAATCTCTTTTTTTTTTTTTTTTTTTTTGTGCATTGAACCTTTATTTTAAAATTTTACAAAAAGGAATTCCACAGGGTTAACAGACAGCATTCAAGGTAGAAGCAAACGAGAAAAAAAATCGGCACATCGCATCGGCAGGAAAGGAACAGCCTACACCTCCAAACTCTAGCAGCAGAAACCAGTTGTTCCATTCTTTTTCGCCTTGTCATTTTGCTGTTGCAGTAAGCATACCTGATGCATAATAATGTGGAGGCTTGCCTGCACAGTATAACTCTTTTTTTTTTTTTTTTCTCTCAATATAAGCATCAATTTTTAACATGCATATGGTAAAGACTTTTGTTCAAAGCCAGTTAATTATTTTTATTTTGAATACTCTTCTTGTATTTCATACTTGTCGTTTTATATAAGAACTTGTGTGTGTACATTGTAGAGTTGTTAGTATAATGACATAAATTTAGGTTGGTTTTTTATCTGCAGATTTATTCTAGTTTATATTTACTTGGTTTTGAGTCACTTTTTCCCCCCTTTACTTATAGATGTTCAGTTCTTTGTGGAAGAAACCTGAGCAGGCACCTCCACCAAACAGAGGATTTACAAATACTGTTTAATGCTTTTTGTATGTATGTAAGCACATCTAATTTGTTGCACATTGTCTTTTCATCATGTATGCCATTAAATGTATTCCAATATTGATTTCTTTCTTTCATAACAAAATAAATATTTTACAATAATTATGTATTTACATTCATTCATGAAGTGAATGTTCATCATGCGTAAAATTCATTTAAAATTGTAGAAATGTTTGAATTTTTACTTCTTATAATGGTAAAGGTAATATATGTATAAATCAGCTGATGCACATTATAACTACCACTCATTAAAGTGAGCATTCCATTACAGGGACCTAAGTAGAAAATTCTTCAATTAATAAGAATATATATTAAATTGATTTTTGCTGTAGCACTGATCGTTCTAATTTCTTATTTTGTAGGACATGAAGGATTAAAACTCTTAATGGAAAATCCTGAAAAGTCAGAGAAAATATAAACTTTCTTAAAAAGTCAGAAGAGTTAAAGTATGGATCCATAATATTCAATAGCAAAAAGTAGATCTAATAATCAGTAAACAAAAATTATCCTTCCTCATAGGAAAGCAGACAAAAGAATTAATGTAACCTTACTATTCATAGAACTGTTTGTAATGAGGTGGCAGCATTAAGAGTTGTTACATATTAAAAGATGTAATTCTTTAAAACTTTATAGCAGCAATACATGGTTGATTTGAAAGGAAAACTTGTTGCATGGCCTGAATAAAATAAAAAATGTGGTAAGAAACACAGACAAAAATAATAAAGAAATAAAAAGTGCTGAAAATGTTATTAAAAAGATATAGAATTAAAACAAGGACTGTTAGCCTAAGATGTATAAATTTTGAAAAAGTCAACATATTAGTTTATTCTTAAACCAAATTTTTTTAACCAGTACTTCCCACATTTTTGAAAAAATAAATAGCATAGTTTAGAAGTCACTCTATTGTGTGGTTGTATATTGTAATAGACACCCATCATCTTGATATAATTTTTTTAAGAGCTCTGTTTTTTGAATGCTTCGGATATGTATTTACTCTCTGTATATATATCTAGCATTCATTAACGTAACAACAATGTGTAAATAAATTTTTATAATGTTCATAATTATTTTATTGTGTTTTTTAGTTATGAGTAAAATTCTACAATTATTCATTATTTATTTATTAATTCATCATATTTGGTCAAAGAACTTGTTTAGTTTGGTCATAGAAAACCAGGAAAATGAAGAATTAAATTTCTGTCAGAATCCTATAAGCATCAGTTGTCTACATTTATATATGTCTAAAATGGCCAGACGGCAGCTTGAAAGCAACATGTGGCTCTTCCATACCTTAACTCAATCTATGCTCATGAGCTACTTGCAGATTTTTGGCCTATTAAATGTGACTTGTTGTGAACAAGCAGTAGTTTAGTTTCTGACATATAAATGCATTTTGAAATAGAAATCATGCACTGACACATTTCTTTATTAATCACTAATTTACTAAATAATGTATGTAATAATTTAATCTCTTTTCTAACTGTCCACCGCATGCTTATCATTAGAGTAACAAACAAAACTTCAAATAGTTCCATTCTGCCAATTCTTGTTGTAACTCGGTTACATTGAGAGCAAATAATGGCCATTGGAATAGCACAATGTAGGAGAATGAAGGTAATTTTTTTCCTTAGGTTAAATTTATTTCAGGGAGTTTATCCTTACATTTTTTCTGTGTAAAAGTCTTTGTTTGTCTCCTTTCTTGGAAGGCTTTGTTTTGGGTGTTCATTGTAGTTTTATTCAGTTCTTGAATAGCTTGGTTAACTATGGAATGAACCTTTTTCATGGAGGAAAATTGCTGTACATGTGGTTATAGTTTAGGGAAGAATTTGAAATCTCTGCATTTTATGGTTAGTAAAGTAATTCTTCTGACTTGTCTTTGATTAGGAGATTTGTTGGATGGATAGAAAACTAATTTTCTATCCATAAGCAAGTCGGGTAACATATTTATGCAATTTTCATGATCACTGACGGTAAAGTTATGCAGTTACATTTTGTACATGAAATTCTGCATCTTTCGAAAATTCTAGGCAAAGATGGTCATTTACCAAGAGAAAAGAGAAGCACGCCAAGAAATAAAGTAGCCAATTATCCAAAGCAATAACCTTGTGGTTGGTGTAGATTTTAACCAAGACAATTGATTTCGTGGGCAAACAGATACAGGTTCCAGAATTTCTTTGCTCTTGATGAAGAGGGACTTGTACCTGTTCGCCAAAATCGATAGTGTCTTGGTTAAAATTTATGCCAAACTGAAGGTTGTTTCTTTGATTATAATTGGATGATCATCATTTACGTTATTACCAATCATCGAGCATTTTGAAATTTTTAGGGTAAGGGAAGAATGGGCTTCTTCACTTGCTGACGTATAATTTCAAGTTTTTAATTCATGGTCTCTCAGTTGCCGTCATTTTTGATAGAAATTTTTCATCATCATCATCAAATCTCTGTTTCAGTAACATTGCATAAATTTATGAGGGATCAGTTGGACACAAACCTCTCTCTTCTACGAAACTTTTGTCAAACTATGTCATATTGATAGTATTGAAATCACTGTAGTCTGTGATTTTTTCTCTTGTGTAGCATAAAGAATTTCTTTCTTTATAACCCACCACAAATATTGCATTGGGTCACAGCCGGTGCTAGGGTTTTTCCACCAGTCACTACTAAAATTTATCATGCCTTAATTCTGCCACCCAATGCAGCTGCACCAGTTGACAGGGTTCTGATGTCTACTCTACACTTCTCTCATATTTTTGTTCTTAATCTTTGATCTTCTTGTACATCTTCACAAAAGCCTAGTAGCCCAATGGAATGGTAAACTATTATCCACTCACTGCCTGATTAGTAAGCATTTCTGCAGTTTGCTGTTGGAATTTTGCCCTACATGATTTGATAACCATTTTGTTTTGAAGTGTGATCTTTCTTTCCCTAAGGAAAGTCACAATATTCTCAAACACATACAAACTCCATTTCAAACTGTTGTTTTTTCAAAATGCCGTTCTTGAAATAATTCACACTTCAGACCTTTAGCTTCCTTTAACTCAAATATATGTAAAACCCTTATCACACTTGGCTACTGTCCCGACTAAACAGGACTTTTCTGAGAAACGAGATTCTGGAGGCACTGATTTAACCGGAAGGATTCCTAGAAAAAAGAGCTCCGCCTGAAGCGAAGTCCCGCCTAGCTACGGAAGCGGTGTTCCGGCTACGAGAGATTTTTTCAAACCTGACCGAAAATGTCCCGGGTAGAATCAACCAATTAGACGAAAGTTCTGCTTCTGTTCACGAGATCACGGTTAACTTCCAATATGGCGATGGCGGGAACAGTATGATCGTGGACGGTGGAAATAGAAGCCAATTTTATTGACGAAATTCAAAAGAAGCCACATTTTTGGGATAAAGGAGAAAGAGCTTTCTGCTTCTCCTAAAGGAAAAAAGTATAATCATCAGTAATAAATATAAAATATATCTACAAAATGTCTTATTATTATGTCAAACTATTATTTTCAATAAATAATAGTTTAATGTTATATAACTTACGCTTCTATCGTAAGGAATTCTTGAATTTATACATTTATCTTTAATTAAATCTGATAATTCTTTACACCTGCACCAATATATATTTATATATTTAATTACAAAACAATTTAAAAAAAAAAAATAATGCCTAGTATTTTTGCATATTAAACTGATGGAAAATTATCATACAGTAAATCTGCCCTTTATGCTACTGTATATGAACAATTCAGTCTTTTTAGTAAAAAAAACGCAGAGGTACTAGAGGAAACAGCAAGAAAGGTAAGGCTTTTCTTCATACTAATATCGTACAGTCGAAATTTCAAGATTTATCTAAAGAGCCAAATTTCAAGAAAAATATTCTTAACTAACTTCATTCACTACCTCACAGACATCTTATAATCATTCACAATTTTGTCAAAGATAAATTCAAAGGCAATAATCTCATCAAAGATTGTTTTGGTTTTAATATTTATTAAATTCCTTTTATGTATTTATAGGAATATTTGAAATTTATTACTTATGAATTTCAATTTTTGGGATTTGTGAAAAATTGGTTCTAAATTTCTTACTTTATGTTTTTGCTGATAATTTTCAGCAGCTTAATGCACGAAATTGCTAGATATGATTACATTAGATTTTAAAAAATTGTATTGTAATTAAATATAATTAAATCTGATAATTCTTTATAACAATATATATATATATTAATAGCTAGGTAACTGAATGACATGCAGATATATAAATTACCTATACTTGTGGCCAAAAGGCTAAGAGTGACAGCTAATCTTTCTCCTGGTGGAATTGCGGTTAATCTTTGGATTGTGGTAACTTGGCGATTTTTTGGCGACCAACCCTGCTACAGCAACCTGCTAGTTTTTGTTTGGACGCCATTTTGTTTTCACGAAGTAAAGGACTTTTTTTTTTCACTCAACATTTCCAACATTTTTTTCCAACAATCTGCTAGCCGAATTACGCTTATGCTAGGACTTTTATGGAACAAAAGTGCTTAATCATGACGAAGATTAGGGGCGAAATTGGGACAAAGTGCAGAATCGCCCACTGTTCGCCGCGTTTTTACGAATTGCACATACACGGTATCATCATGTACACGTCGACCTATTTTCACTTAAAAAAAATCACAGAATTGCACAAAAATGGCATTGCGCACACTCTTGACTATATCCATGTACACTGCTAAAGTCCTAGCCAGTAACCTTTATCGCCTTACCAAAATGTCGCCAAACTACCTGTTACCATATTCCAAAGATTAGCCGGAATTACTTCTCTAAATCTGGTATTATTTTTTGGCAATTTGGCTAGATATGCTATTGTGTAAAATCTCAAATGCACAGATATCCATGCTAATCTATCTTCGATATCCCTCTGAAACCTAAAAATATATGCAACTTTTTAGATAGCAAAATAAGATGTTAAGAAAGTTAATTTATAATAAATTACTGGAATAATTGAATTTTGTTGGTATTAAATGCAGATGGGCATCATGTAGATGGAGTGCAAGCTTTGCTTAAATTTTTAAATCATAAACAACCAGAGTATTGATTGGAAACATTAAAATTTCATTTAAACAT